CATGGAAGGGCAACAGGCACCCTGACCTTTACAACTAAGGTTATAAAACTCTATGGACATCTTCCCTGCATCAGTTGCAAAGCCAATCAACTCAACACATATTCTGAAGAACCCACCCATAATTCTTCATTCTCCTGAGCTACAGCAACCTCAGAACATCATATATGGGCCATTTGAGATTCAGCCCATGTCTACACTTAAACCTGAGAGACCGTGATGGGGAGAGAACCTTGACTCCACACTAACCCTACAAGGCCAAGTCCAGTCCCATCCAGGGCAGCAGGAATGTGCTGCATAGAAACTAGCCTTTCCCCTTCGGCCATGGGCATTTGTAGTTCTGTGAGGAACGAACACTCTTTTAGAGAAAGGAATCAAACTAAAATTTCAAAATTAGAGCAATTCTAAACATTGGGAAAAGAACTGGGGTCTCTGTCTTTGATGGTGACACCCTCCCAGTGTGCCACCAGGATCCACACTGGGAATTTCTGGCACAATTCAGGGTTGTTTTTCCAGGCCTTTGACCTGGAGTATGATTCTCTTACTTGCCCTCAGATCCAAGACCGAACATGAACACTGGACCTCAGCGCCCCCAGCACAGGAAGGGCAAGCTGGCCAGGCTTACCTTCTATCACCATTTTCCTCTTAGCACCCACTACTCATTGTCCTTTCCCACCATTCAAAACAAGCTCTTCTTAGACCTGGGGCCTTCCAACTTAAGGGAAAGCTATGGGTCACAGTAGGTACCCAATAAAGAGGGCTCTTGCAAAGAGAATGGAGAAGCCAGTCTGCTTGGGAAGCCTGGCTTTATAGAGAGATGTGGGGCTGATCCAAATAGCCTTTCTGTCGGTACTTCTGAGGGAGAAGAGAAGGTGTGGGGCAGCCAAGGAGAAAGAGAACACGCCAAACAGATCATTATGTGTTCTTGGAAGCCAGTTTAATGGACTGGCTCAAAGTGGAGCTGGGAACGGGCTCTGGAGCCGTCAATCAGGACGTGGCTGGGGCACAGATCCACATTCGGCTCTACCAAGTGGAGACGCCTTATGGAAACTTTTGAGAGACTCTTTGCGACTCAGAAACACAAATATCACGTGTTCTCTCTCTTGGACGCAGAACCTACATTTAAATATAGCCATAAAAAGTAGAAGGAAGACTATGATGGGAGAGGAAGAAAGGGTAATAGGGGAAAAGAAAGACAAATATCACATTTCCTTTCATATGAAACCGAAGGGCGTGTGTGTGTGTGTGTGTGTGTGTGTGTGTGTGTGTGTGTGTGTGTGTGCATGAGGAAAACAGGAAAGCAGAAGGTGAACTATTTGTGAGCACGATGGGAACTGGAAAGGGCTGAGGAACAGGGGTAGGGGAGAAAATTGGGGGTGGTGAAAATACAAGCCAAATACTATGATATGTATGTATGGAAACGTCATAATGAAACTATTTTATGTGCTAAAAAATGTAAGAGAAACAGGGAAGACAGGATGGGAGAAGAAATAGGTTGATTCTGTTTTAGACCTGATTTCTTGTCCTCATTCTGACCATTCTAGCCGTATTTCTCGTTACTTTGGAAGCACTAGTAGGAAAATTAAAATCACAAACTGACTACTGTGTGCCAGAAACTAAGTCAGCACTTTTATCATCCTAGGAATCCTAGGTGACCCTTTGTGGAGGGCAACATGGAGGCCCAGTGTAAGCATCTGGGGCACTTTCCAAGCACAGAGACCTTTTCTTTATGAGCCCTTTTTTTTTTGCCACACATCTCACCACCCCCTTCAAGCCAAAATTCCCCTTGTTTTAACAGGATAAACATTCCCATGGCAGAGGAACACTGTGTTCCCTAGAGGAGATGCAACACGACGTTCCTGCAGAGGCCATGTGGGCTTATGAAACTGAGTGCTGGGCTGAGGTCCTGGCCTGGAGCCTAGGGATCGGCACCATTTCGGCAGACCTCAGCTAAGCCCCAACAAGGCGATGAGAGTGACGGGGGAGCACAGGTTGGGAGCCAGGTTGAATCTTGACACTGCAGCAAACTGCCAGTGCTGTGGGCCTCTGCTTCCTGTGGACACCACGGTTTAGGGTGAACTTCTCCGGCAAGTCCAGAGTGTTGCAGTTACAGGAGAGAGCATCTCTGTCTACCACTCTGCACCTTGATTTTCTAGACCACTTTCTGCACACATCAGGATTAGAAAGGCATCTTTTTGGTTTTTGGAGAGGACCTCCCTTACAGGACCATCAATCGAGATGCATATAAAAAGTTTGACTAGGAAGGATTCTCATCTTTATTGGTGGTATACAAAATGATCAATATATATCTTACAGTTGATAGCATCTTAGAGTCAATAAAAAGTAAGATTTAAAGAACAAACACAACTGTTATTCTTCAACAAGACCTTTAGTAGATTCTGCATGGGTCTCTCCAGAGCAACTTTAGTCCACCCAGATATGTGGATGGCTCTCATGTCTGGGTGTCTGTCTCTCTTGCTATTGTTTCAGTTGAAGTTTTTACCAAGGACCCAGAGATGCTGTAACAATTTTGGGCCACTAGAGGGGGAGAGAACATTGAGGGACAGATTCCCAGTCTCCTGGTGTCTCTCCTAAGTTTTTCCAGTATACCCTCCACAGCAGTGTGTCCACCTGTCCCTTGAACCCCACCTGCAGGGTCAGGTCAGGGAGAGGGACCCTGTTCCATGTGAATAATACTGTCAACACAGGTTGAATTCTGTGCTTGTAGAGGCACATACAACTCAGCTCTGGTCTAAGGAGCTGATCTTAGGAACATGGCCAGGTCTCTGCCTCAGGCAAATGCATAAGGGGTGGCCATCCTGTTTGTAAGCCATTTGGAGACTTCCGAGGTCCACAAGGATTTGTGAGACTTTCTGAGGAAATGTATTCACTTTTGCTGTCACGGGGAGATTTACTTAAAGTCCATTCCTCTTTCTTCTCTCCCTTCCTCTTTCCATCCCTCCTGCCCTTCTTCCTTCCTACACTTAGTGTTAATTACTGAATACTTACTACATGCCAAGAACTGGGCCAGGAGCAGAGACACCAAAGTGAGGAGAATCAATCACTACCTTTGTGAATGTTGGGTTCTGGGAGATTTATACAGAATCCACAAATCAGCTACAAGGAAACGTACTGGGCCCCAGCAGTGCTTATTTCTGTATAAAACTTTACAGCCTCCTGCGGGTCTCGGATGTCTCCAACAGGCTTAAGAGAGTGGCCACCCCCAAGCTGTGTATTCTCAGGAGACAATGCCTCCCTGTCATGACTGGGAGCTGCTTTCCACAGTAGATCTGGGAAGGCTTCTCTGACACAGTAACGGAAACAAACCCCACCAAGTAAGGAGTGAAGGACAGACCTTCCAAACTTCAGGCCTGCCCTTACAGTGCCACCATGACAGGAGGAGCTCAACACCATCCACTAACCAACAGAAAGCCATTGAGGAGCCCAAAGCCATGGGCCAGGGACGCTTGGGACAAAATATCGCGTGGGAATTCATAACACAGAGTCTTGCTGGTGTGTTAAAGATGTGACTTTTACTCTGAAGACATCTGAAGTGGTTTTGAGAGAGGAGGGTCATAAGTTTGTCTGGTTGGATTTTAATGTTTAAGATGCTCTCTGGCTGGTCTGGTCCTGGTAATATAACCCAGGCAAAAAGTTTCAGGACTCCTCCCTCCTGCCTCAGCCTCCAATGCAATCTTGCTGGGATTGCAAGAGTACATCACCATGCCCAGCTTCATTGAGGGTTTTAAGCATAGAACCATCTCTGGTAAGCAACTGCAGAGGGCAAGAATTCCTCCCAGTGGGAGCAGGAAAGGAAATAACCAGGGAAATGATGCTGATGCAAGGATAGACTTGTGCAGAAGGGACTTGTGCAATCCTGTGATGGTGAATACAAGGATTCTGGCACCCATGTTAAAGATCTGCAGTTTGTGTCCTAAGGGAAACCTGTAACTCAGATGAGGCAACAAAGAACACTGGGGGAAAAGCTAAATAATACTGAGAGGCAACTGGGAACAGGTTCAAAGCCACTCTCAGAATACAGTAAAGAAATTAAGGCATGTGTAAGGAGGAGGATGCCAAAGAAGAAGGGATAGAATAATCGAATGGGAGAGAGAGATGAGATGTGTAGTATTGCCCTAGGCAGCAGGAAGAAACAAGAAACTAGGGGCCTCCAACAAAGGGTGTTCCTGGAGCAAGTCACAGCACAAGCCCTGGCCTTAGCAGTGAAGGAGAAAGGAGGCCCACATGGAAGGGAAAAGCCCCTCATCCTGGTTGTACACAGCTTCCAATAGAACAGGCCAGGGCTTTGTGCCTTTGTCACCCTGAGGAAGTACAGGGAAAGAAAGAGTCATTAACAGTCACAGGAGACACCAGAAAAACAAGGGGGCCTAGAGAATAACTGAAACAACATCGTTCCCTAACACATAGAAAACGAGTTCTTTTAAGACTCCAATCAGTGCTGGATTCTCTGGGCACTTACTACGGTAAGAATAGATTACCAATGAACTACAGTGTTGAGATAGCACAATGGACAACATGAATGCTGAGGAAAAAAATATGTAAATGATAAAATGAAAAGAGAGTTTTCCTAGGCTCAGGCAAATCTTTACAACAAAAAGGGGACTTTATTCTGGACTTGGAAGAATGGGGGGTATCCTAAAGGTAACACAGTTAGGGATGGAGGGTCAGCCTCAGGATCTTCTGGCAGCACCATCTACAGGCCCATGAAGTCTCACCTGGGTCTGGGGATCTGAGTCAATTGGTAGAGTGTTTTCCCAGCATGCTCAAAACACTGAATCATGACCCCATAATGTCACAACTCAAAGGTTACAAACAGGAAGATTAGAAGTCCAAGGCTATATATATTTCCATTTATGTCAACGCTTGTCCCTCCAGCTGAGATGCCATGCCTTCTCCTGTGTCTGTCTGACCTCAGGCAAGTGCCCTGTGCCCATCCTCATTCATCTGTCCTTTCCCATTCTCTCTTACCTGTCATCTGACAGATGAGTGACCACCCGCTGAAGGAGATGTCCGACAGCAACAGCAGCCCTCTCCTGCCGGAGCCTCTTTCCAGCAGGTACAAACTGTACGAGTCAGAACCAAGCAGCCCTACCTGGCCTTCGAGCCCCCAGGATACACACCCAGCCCTTCCCCTGCTGGAAATGCCTGAAGAAAAGGTGAGCCTGACCCCCTCCCCCGCTAGGATGACTCTTAATCGGGAGTCAGAGAGCAAGGGGGTGAAAGATGATTTGAGTCCCGATACATTTCCATGTGGATTGTAGGATCATCAAAAAATAAAATAAAATGACAACCTATGCTTTGATGGGAATTATCTTAAATCTGTAGATAAATTTGAGAACTATTGCCATTGTAATAAGACTAAATTTTCTGATCCATGAACATGGGATATCTTTCCATTTATTTTGGCTTTATTTTCTTTCAGTGGTGTTCTGTAGCTTTCAGTGGGTAACAGTTACACATCTTTGTTTTTAAATTATTCATCCACAAGTATGTTCTACTTTTTATTATAACATGAATAAAATTATTTTCTTAATTTTAATTTTAGATTTTAAAATGCCAGGGCATAAAAATAAATTTGATTTGATTTTCTATTCTGTGACTTTGCTAAACTGATTTATACTTCGAATAAGACCTTTGCAGATGCCTTAAGAATTTTCAATGTAAAAGAACATGAAAGCAGAGAATCAGTCTCTGTTTAAGCTTTTTCTTTACCATCTGTTCCTTTTGTCCCCTTTCTCTGCCTGTTTGCTGGAATACAATGCTGAGTAGTCATGGCAAGAGCAGACATGCTTGTATTTGTATTTGATTTTAGAAAGAGAGAGTTCTAATCTTTCACCATTACATATAGCACCACCAGTGGGTCTTTAGTAGATGTCCTTCATCAAATTTAGAAGTTTTGTTTATTGAGAAACAGCCCCATTTCAAATGCTACTAGTTGCTAGTCTTATGAGCTACCATACTGAAAAGTGCTGCTTTAAAGAAAGAAGTCTTGACCAGTAGGTACACATATGAAATTGAGGAGCAGATGAACTGAAATGAAGGAAATAATCCACCATTATATCTACTAACCTCCAATGGACATTGGTATTGAGGAATATTAAGCTACACAGGGTAGGGATATCATATGATATTTATTTAGGGAGAAGTCACTTACATGAGAAGCCAAGAACCTAAGGTCAGCGCTGCACTGCTCTCTGAAACCCCACCAGAACCCCAAGAGCAAACCATCTCTTTTCCCTCAGGTCTTATCCAACGCACCTTCTACATACCTGTGACCACACCCAAACGGGCGTGGTCATCGGTACAGGTACCTAAGATCTCTCCCTACACTTTGGCATTTATTTCAATAATAAATAATATATGTAATGAGTCATAGTCATATTAGTAGTACCTGAGATTTCTATCCAAGCTGTCATGAACCAGATTTTCCAGGACATGGACTTTGACGTGAAGATTTACGAGTACGAAGTTTACCCTGTGCTTTGGGGAGCCCCACTTACAGATGAGGAAGGACAGCAGGCCATGGTTGGTCTTGTGGTGGGCTTTGGGTCTCAAAGAAAGAATACTATGTGAAAGCCACTCTATTTGATGTTTTCTCCTGTCTTTTGCATGAAGGATCTCCGGAAATCTGATGAAGACAGCCACATAGTGAAAATTGAAAGACCCAATGAAAGGAACAAAAGAAGGGAAAATGAGGTGCCCCGCAGGGCTTCTTCCAGCCAGGGAGGCTTCAACCTCTTCCAAGCTGTGGGCTATCTCACTGGTGACATGAAGGAATGCAAGAACTGGCTGAAAGGTAAGAAAGTGTCTGAGGAAGAGCAAGGGAAAGGCCAGAAGCCACCTACCCTCCAGCTGGACAGTGAGGCTGCACCCTATCTCCACGGCAAGATCTGGCACAATAAAGGGAAGCTGAGTTGACCCCAGGTGGACATGTACCCAACTAGCCTGTACCCTTATATAATTAACAAATTTCATTAAGTTTAGTCCTTTGCCAATCATTCACCCCGGTGAGGAAGTGATAGAGAGCAAACAAATTAGAAACATGCAAGCCATTTCCCAAATAAGCTGCATGGCCATTCCTCCACTTGTCCACAGCCATTTATTAAGCCTATCAAGTGCCAAGAAGAGATCCGTATCACCCTCTCCCAGCTCCAGGGTAATGCTTTAGCAGACACCACACTCACCCAATCAGTCCCTACTTGCCCCCCACCAGCATGGTTGTCCTGGAAACCAAACCAGAGGAGGCAGAAACGCATGTCCCCTCTCCTACACCTGGCCTCTTCTAGGCCCCAATAGCCAATAATGATTTTCACAGCTGGGCTCTAACAATTTCTTTTCCAACGTCCTTCCTTGAAGCGACTTTCTCTGCTGCTCAGATACCAGCCCTCAGCTGAGTCACACAGCAACACACAATATGAGACTTTACTTCCCTCCCCACTTCTTCCCTTGGACCAATAAATTTCCCATGGAATGCTCCTGGGGCTCCCTGCCAACTAAGCCAATGGCTGGAACTGCTTTAAATTGGTCTCAGCGTGGTCCCTCAGTCTGTATGGCAAAAACCACCACCCGCTGTAGACCAATTGCTGGGCCACTCAGAGCCTTGGGCTGAGTGCCAACACCCACTCCCAACCCTTTCACCCACCCACCCCAGGCTAGGCTGAATAAGGAAAATACCCTGGCTTGTGTATCCGTGTGCACCTCAATTTCTGTGCCAACCAGTAGTCAATACACAGGCTGTACCCCGCTGATGACTGCCTGTCTCTTGCAGATAAGCCCCTGGCCCTCCAGTTCCTAGACTGGGTCCTGCGGGGAGCAGCTCAGGTGATGTTTGTCAACAACCCCCTTAGTGGGTTCATCATCTTCATAGGGCTCCTGATCCAGAATCCCTGGTGGACAATTGCTGGGGCACTGGGGACAGTGGCCTCAACCTTAGCTGCCCTTGCCTTAAGCCAGGACAGGTAAGTGCTCTCTATGGGCCTATTGTATGTGCATGGCAAACAGGTAAACTGTTTGGTTTAGTGGTCAGCCATTCCATCCTAGCAGCCACCTAAAGCCTCTATGTTAGTTTTTTTCCCTACTGCTGTGAATAATCACCTTGACCAGAAGAAACTAAGGAAAGAAAGGATTTATCTGTAGTTTACTGTCTAGGAAAGTCAGGGCAGGAATCCAGAGGCAGGTGCCGAAGCAGAATCCATGGAATAACACTGCTTAATGGCCTGCTCTCATGGCTCATTCAGCCTGATTTCTTATACCTGCCCCAGGACTGGCAGGACATCCAGTGATCTGAACACTACCAGCCTGCCTACAGCCCAATCTTACGGAGGCATTTTCTTAAGTATAGTTCCTTCTTCTCGGGAAAGTTTAACTTGCTTGAAATTGACAAATAAATAAACAAACAGCCCCGGCAGCTGCTCTGTCAGCTTTGAGCAGGTCACTGGAGATTGCTATGGAATTGTACTGCCCTAGCCCGGGACAGCAACAGCACCATGTTGAGTTTGGCTATGGAGCCTTCTGGAATTACTCCTTCTGTCCTTATGAAGGAGATATAAAACAATACTTGAGGAGCTGTTGTCTCTCAGGGAGGTTCACAAACTGCTTTTTAGAGGCAAGCTTAATAAGTAAGAACAAGATAGCGTATAACAGAGAACTCAAAGAAGACGAACATCTCCAAGTATTGAGAAGAGTGGAGAGATGCATGTTTTTGTGTAGAGGCTGGGGTGGGTTGTGGGAGAGGCATCAAGGGTCTGGAAAAACAGAAGAGTAGGAAGGGAACACAGAGATGGGCATGGAGGCAGCCTGGCTGGTGGGAAGCCAAGTAACACTAACAGAAAGCATTTTGTAGAACTTGATTCTCTTCAGACTTTGTTATGTGTTGCTCCAGCATTCCCCCAAACCTTCCTGGTGTTCAGAACCACCTGGGGCATGACTTGAAAAAATACACTTCAGTCCCCTCCCATTCCCTACCCCCTATAAAGATTCTCATTCAATGGATCTGATGAAAGACAATCTTCCTAATACAACAGCTAATTTTTACTGAGCGTTTACTGTGTAATAAGTACATATTTTTATTACATTATAGATCAATTATTTGAATGTTTATGGCTTATTTTCATCCACGTTAGGCATACAACTTACAGGAAGCATTAGTCTGTTCAGTTTTGTTAAGACCTAGGCAAGGAATTTGTGGACCAAGAAATAGAAAACTCAACACAGAGACACATGTGCATCACAACAGCACCATGTTCACTGTGAGCTGTGATCATCTCCCTGCATCTCTTTAATCATCTATTGCTCTTGCTAGAACATGTTTTGAAGTGTTTAGTCTATCACAAATAATGTGACTATGAGTCTTTTGTGCACAGGATTTTGGTGCACATTTACTCCATTTTGGGAAGAGATGTTTCAGTCTCCCAGGAACTTCTTATGATTTAAGAAATCTGGAACACAAATACTTGATTTTCCCATATCTTATGCTTTTCAATTTGGGGGTACAGATAATAAGCCATCAATAAAATGTTTTGATTAAACAGCTCAATAAAATACAACTGATTAAAATAATTAATGCAGAATAGAAGTAAATATTTTATGAAATTTTTGTTATATGTAGTAAGAGAACTAGATCATACTATAAAATATATTTCTTTACAGTGGGTTTCTTAAGAACAATTTTACCAGCATGCCTGGGTGTTTGTGACTCTCATCATCATACCCAGAAGCAGCCAGTGGATAAAACAGAGTCTGTATTTTATAATTGAGAGACAAAGAAAGGGCAGATGCATGGTCCCACCTAATTTACTATGCATGGCTGATAGGACAGAGGCTATAGTTCCCTTAGGCTGAAAGCCATGCTGCTGTTGTGATTGCACCCATACAAACAGCGTGACCCTAGACTTAGGAGTAAAGCCCCGAACAGCAGTGACCAGAATGCATTAAGCCACGATGTACATCATGCTTCCTCTAGACTCAACTAACATCCCATAGTCCATTGAGGCAAATGCATCAGTCTACTTGTCTCCAAACGACTGTCCCCCACCTCCAAGTGCTCAGTAAAAATTAGCTGTTGTATCAGGAAGATTGTCTTTCATCAGATCCATTGAATGAGAATATTTATAGGGGATAGGGAATGGTATGGGACTGAAGGACCACTCCAATCCTAAAAGCAGTGAGGCCGCTAGATGTTTTATTCTTGAGCGTGCAAGTCTGGTGAGCTACTCGATAATACACTCCTAACAATGTTAGATGTCTGTTTCAGCCCATGGGCCTCAGTCCTCTTTCCAAAGCACTGCCGATGTATGGGCAGCTGACATAGAGAACTTCTGCCTTACTACTTGTGTTGTTTGGTTTTATGCAACTTGACTTAAGCTAAAGCCAAAGGAGAAGAGGGAACATCAGTTGAGAAAATGCCTCCATAAGATCAAGTTGTAGCAAGTCTATAAGTCATTTTCCTAATTAGTGTTTGATGGGGAGGGCGTGGACCACTGTGGGTAGAGCCATCCCTGGGCTGGGGACCCTGGGTTCTATCAGAAAGCAGGCTGAGCAAGCCATGGGGAACAAGTCAGTAAACAGCACCCCTCCATGGCCTCTGCGTCTGCTCCTGCCTCCAGGTTCCGGCCCTGTTTAAGTGCCTGTCCTGACTTCCTTTGATGGTGTACTGTAATGTGGAAGTGTACACCAAATAATCGCTTTTCTTTCCCACTTGCTTTTTGGTCATGATGAATCATCACAGCAATAGAAACTCTAACTAAGACACTGTTTTACCAAAATTCACTGAAACTGACCTAGAGGCCATTCAGCCCGTTGCTTTCCTCACCATATGACCTCAGATAAGCATGTCCAGCTTAACACTATCACTACTGCCTGTAAAAATCTATGGCTTGTGGTTAATGAGCCCAGTAGTATTCCCAGATTTTTCTCTCAACAATAATCCAATGATAAAATTCAGAGCTTTCCAAGAGTCTCTTCATAGATTACTGCTTCCAGCAGAGGAGGTACACACTGGGCAAGCCCTCCATGTGACTTCTAAAGGCTTATCTCATGCCCCTCTTCCTACCAAGTGTTTGCTAGCATCATGCTTGTGCCGGGTTTGTTTCTGTAATTCCTAATGACTCTTACTTCTCTGTCTACTCCCACCATCCCGCCAAATCTCCCTCCTCCTGGATGGCTTCCCTAGCTAGTCTGCAGAAACTTTGAACCCTTTCTCTCTGAACAACCACACAACATATCCAAACACTATTCTGAATGGTCTTTGACTGTTTAATCACTGAGTCTTCTCTCTTGGGACAGTAAGTCTTTCAGGACAGAAAGTTCATTTTCACGATTCTATATTCCATCACACCATCTAAGAACAGTCCAAGCTTCCTTAGAAACATGTGGGTATCATGTTCTTCATCATAGGCTCAAAGCCCTGGATCCTCCCATATATGCCTATGTCTGCCCTTCTAAAAACTCCATTACTGTCCACAATCAGATACTGGCATGGTATGTGTATTTGGTATATGTACATACCATATACTCACACATATATAAAAGAAGAAAGGAGGGCATGACATGGGTCAGGGGGTAAGAGAGCTTACCATATAAATCTGATGACCTGAGCCAGATCCAGAGAACCCACAGTGGAAAGAGAATGTGACTCCCAAAAGCTGTCCTCTGACCTCCACGTGCACACTGTGATACATGTGTATTCACACACAGGACAGAGAGGTAGAAAAGAAAGAGAGTGAGAGAATACATAGGATATAAAGACACAGTGAGAACTATTGAGGTGGAATGCGTAGACAGCAATGGAAAGAAAAACGAATAAATGAAAAGATTAAATAATAATTAAATAAATAATCCGAACAAAACAGAAAAGGTCACTGGATGAATATTGGGCAATTACACAGCCAACAGAGCCTCTCTGAGCTACCTCCCCTCCCCCACCACTGCTCATTCCTCTTGCTGATCTTGACGTGAAACCATTCACTATTGTGGTTAGGGTCTCCTTTGCTTTTTAGGATCACCCAGACTACTAGGTGCAGGGTGCTTAAATTGTATTTATACATCCTATCACCCCTGTCTGATGTGTAGTTGGGAAAGACAATTTTCCCACTTGTAGGCTGTTCTTTCACTCTTATGATAGTTTCCTTTGCTATGCAAAATACGATTTTTTAATTTCACAACATCCTATTTGTCAGTGATTGGAATTGCCCATGTGCTATTGGGGTCTTTCTCAGAGAAAACATGCCTATGCCTGTATTTTAAGGCACTTTGTCTAAGTTTTTCCATGTTTTTCCTCCAATAGTTTCCAAGTTGAAGGTTCTACTGTTAAGGTATTTGATCCATTTGGAGTTAATTTTTCTTTGGGGTGAGATATGTGGATCTAGTTTCATTGTCTACATGGAAATCCATTTGTCACACAGCATTAGTTAAAGAAGCTGCATTTCTTTCCAAATGAATGTTTTAAGAACCTGTAACTGGGCAGATTTTGTCTCATTCATCTGTGTGATTTTGTTGTTTTGTTTTGTTTTGTTTTGTTTTGTTTTTGCCAGTCCCATGCTGACTGGTGCTGCAACTCTGTGGTTCAGGGATGTGCTGGGAAGCCTCCAGCATTGCTCTTTCTGCTTTGGATTTCTTTGCCCATTCTCAGCCTTTTACGATCCCATCTGGAGTTTTTCTCTATTTCTGTGGAGACTGTCCTTTGAATTTTTATGGGAACTGCTTTGAATCTGTATGTTTCTTTCAATAATGTAGTCATTTCACAATATTAGTTCTGCCAACCCATAAGCATGAGAGAATTTTCATCTTCTATTGTCTTCTTCAATTTATTTCTCCAATGTTTCAAAGTTATTGTTGTTGTTGTTTATAGAAGCCATCACCTTCTTGGTTAGTTTTCTTACTAGGTAGTTTTTAAGTTTTTGTTAATGGGATTTTTCCCAGTTTCTTTCTTCATTAATTTGTCATTTGTGTGTAGAAAAGCTGAATTTTGCATGTTGGTTTTGGGTCCTACAACTTTGGTGAAAGTATTTATAAGACCCAAGAGTTTCCTGGTATAATCTGAAGGGTTATGTCTTAAATATAGGACTATATCATCTTCAACTAGAGATCATTTACTTCTTCCTTTCCTATTTGTATGCTTTGTATTCCTTATATTGTTGTTCTAGCTAAGACTTAGAGCACTATATTGAATAAAATTGGAGAGAGCAGGCAATATCCCACTCATTCCTTATTTTTAAGAGATGCTTTCAGTTTTCTGTTTTGTATAATCTGGCCATAGTTTTTATATAAGTAGTCTATTGCATTGAAGTTTGTTTTTATATTTCTAGATTCTACAAAAGATTTTTTGCTGATTTTTTACTATTAATTCATTTTTTACACTCCAATTCCTGTTCCCCCTCCCCTGTCCTCTACTCCTACCTCCCATCTGCTCCTCAGAGAGGGTAAGACTTCTCCTAGGATGTCTACCAAGTCTGTCCCATCATGTGTCTAGGCTGAGCAAGGTATCTCTCCATACAGAATGGGCTCCACTAAGTCAGTTTGTACATTAGTGTTAGGTCTTGGAATCACTGCCAGAGGCCTCATATATTGCCCCAGCTGCACCATTGTCACCTATGTAAAGGGAGTCTAGTTCAGTCTTATGTAGGTTCCCCATTTGTCAGACTGGAGTCAATGATCTCTTACTAGCTTGGATCAGCTGATTTTGTCATGGTCTTGATTCCTTTGTTCATATTATCGCTCCTCCCTCACTTGGATTTTATTCCAGGAGCTTGATCCAATGGTGAGTTGTAGATTTCTGCATCTGCTTCTGGAAGAGTTATAGTTTATCTGGGGTTGTGGATTATAGGCTAGGCATCTTTTGCTTTATGTCTGGTATCCACTTATGAGTGAGAACATACTATAGTTGTCTTTCTGGGTCTGTGCGACCTCATTCAGGATGATTTTTTTTCTAGTTCCATCCATTCACCTGCAAATCTCATGATGTTATTGTTTTTAACAACTGAGTAATAACTCCATTGTATAAATGTACCACATTTTCTTTATCCATTCTTCAGCTGAGGTACATCTAGGTTGTTTCTAGGTTCTGGCTATTACAAATAAAGCTGCTCTGATTATAGTTGAGCAAGCATCCTTGTGGTATGATTAAGTATCCTTTGGGTATATGTCCAAGAGTAGTATAGCTGGGTCTTATGGTAGATTGATTCCCGATTTTCTGAGAAACCACCATAAATAACTATATGTCTTATAAATTTCCATAGGCTGATAAGAATAATGTATATTCAGTATCTGTTATATGATGATGTGCGTTTCTTTGGAAATTAAAGAGACATAATGTTTTAAAATGATAAAGTAAAACTACTATGAGAAGTATAGAAGAAGGGGTGACACGAAGGAGGTGAAGAAAGAAAACATGAATGAAAAGCTGAGGTGTTTGGATGACTTTCTTCTATGGCCTTGAAGATTAGAGACTGATTTGTATATGCAGGGGTAGAAGAGTTGGTTGAGTTTCAACACTCTTTCATTCACTATGATTTATACAGTGCTGAACCTGTGTAGTACAAATTCCGTGTAATGTTTGTTGAACTTGTCTTCATTTTAGAAGTTTCTCTTGTTTCTGTTTCCTCAACTAGCCAAAATGAGGTATGTAGTCTGAAGATTGCATAAGCTCTGGGAGTGCCCAGTCCATAACCCTTGGGCTAGCTAATATTCCAGCTGGAGGGTGTCTCCCTTGTATGTTGAAAATAATGGAAGCAACTGCAGCCTTGGTATCTACAGGAGCAGAACAACCTTCTTACTTTCAACACGCACTAATCAGTAGTCATCTTGCTAGAGAGGTGAGACTATGGAATGCAAACAGTATGTTGGAACCTCACAGTGCTCGGACCCTACTCTGTGGCAGTAAGTCACACAGCCAGCAGGGGGAGACCTGCCAACCTGAGACTCAGTCAGTGAGGTCTGCTCCCAGACAACGTGGCTGGTGGACCCCTTCCCCTATAAACGCCACTGCCTTTGGGGAGAGTCCAGCTGACTATCCTTTTGGTGAGTCAGTGTCAACCCCTTCCAACACAACTGTCTCATAGTCTGGGGATAGGTCAGATTAGGTTCTGACTCTCTGACTTGCGATTCCTTCTGTTTATAGACACAAGCTCCCACCCCCACCCCAGATAACGGGTTCCCTCTCAAGAAGGCATCCAGTACAGGCCCTGAGCCAGGGAAGTTTCTCTCTGCTGCTGACCCTTTGACACCTGCCAGAGAAGTCATTGTCAGCAAGAACCACGACTTAAACTCAGCCATCTTGACACTCTTTTATTAAAATATCATTTCTGGAGCCTTTCCTCTCTTTCTCTTTGGAAATGTTCTATTCCCTACTTTACTGTCACACTCCTCCATTCATTGGTCCATATGCACTTCTAGTCCACCATCTTACCTGGGAGCCTCACTCTCCCTCTGTTGTTAAAGGGATTGTCTAAGTTATACAGATTCCAGAACTCCAAGACGTTAAAGCTCAACACCCGTCACCAAATGATAATGCAAAATGACTTCCACCCACCCCAGGTCAGCCATTGCCTCTGGACTCCACGGCTACAATGGGATGCTGGTGGGACTGCTGATGGCCGTGTTCTCCGAGAAGTTAGACTACTACTGGTGGCTTCTGTTTCCTGTGACCTTCACCTCCATGGCCTGGTGAGGCACCTCCCTGTTTCTGCTCATAGAGATTGTGATGCGGTGGGGATGTGACACACACTCTTGTGTAGCCCAGTGTCTCAATAAACAGATGATTTTTGTCTAGCAAGATACCATTAGAATCCCTAAGTTCATGACTTCAGGTGCAATACAATGGGTCTAAGTGGAGATACGGATTACCAGAGACCCTGTAGCACATGTTTTATTGAGTGGTTAATCTTTCTTCATATATAGTAAAGGTTGACATTCATTGAATAGTTTGTAAGTACCAGGCACAGTGCTGAGCAAGGCTGGGTTACATTTGTTCCCAATTTACAGAAGAGAAGACTGAGGCATAGAGAAAGTAAGTAACTAATTCCCCAGTATTCAGTTAAGAGTTTTTGAGGCTGGCTTTCTGAATCTAGAATCTGCAATACTAAATTCCAGGCTACATGGGGATCATCCACCGTGTGGTCTACTAACCCTTCAAATCTGAAAACACACTCGGGATAGAATCAGAAGGCATTCCTGGAACAGGAGGTCTGTATGCAAAACACAGAGTCTTTGAACTAGAGTGTCTAGTTGAGAGTTTCCTCGAGAGGGCAGAGAGCTGGGAACAAATATGCACTGAGTGCGGAGTGCACTTAGCCAGCCATTCACACATATGATCTTAATTTCATTTGAATTTGAAGAAGGTCAGTACAGGGTCCAAACAGTCCAAGAGTGTGCCTGCCTTTGTATGATCCTGTGTCTCCAACTTTTCACATCACACATCTATACCACCCTGCTCTCCGCTCCTCTCAGACATGGTGATTTATTCCTGTTCTCAGCAATAAATCAGACATGGTGATTTATTTTTAACATCTCCAAGAAGTAAATGTCTTTCTTAGGTTTCAAAGTCTGGAGTTACTAAAACCAGTTAGTTCAATTTAGCTTAAGTACTGTTTCATTGCTTTTTAGTGGTGCTTGCAAATAAATTACTGCATTAGGCATTCTGGGTAATTTATTTTTCTTCTTGGGGTTTCTATCTTCCTTGATGCATTGGGACAAAAGATAAAATGGTCATTTCTTGGGGGGATTTCCTTAATGCTCCCCACATGTCCCCCAGTCAAGAGCAGAACTCATTCTCATTTGCATGCATTTGTTTTCTAACTACATAGATTCAACCCCTCAACACAGCCCCTCTGCCATATGGCACTGGGTGGCAGCTTAAACTTCAATGCCCCCAACCCCCATTTCCCAAATTAAAAGGCAGAAACACTGACTCATGCTCTGGGTGGGATTCTGAACTACCTTCTATTCTGGTGCATTCATTAATCCATTCATGGAGCCCTTGGACTTTCAAGATTCATTCGATATTTAAAAAAAAAATTCGAGTGCCTGATACTATTCACTGAGCACAGGAACTATTGGCAAGTATGGACAAGGAGGAACCTCTAGTTTCTTGGGTTTATGTTTTTTCTTTATTAACCAGTTTATAGGCGGTAAACTTATAAACTAGTAAATAAAAGTTCCTTCACAATGTGTTTAGTGCTTGGAGAATAGTAAGAGTGACTCCTCACATGGGTGGCCAGGGAAAGACACATTGCAGATGGGGAATTTGAGTTACCACTCACATGTCAGGAAGGCAGGTGCCAAGTAAAGGTCTAGGTGAAGGAGGCCTCAGATAAAAGATTCCAAATGGAGAAAGGGATGTTTCCAGGAAATAGAGGCAAAACCAGAGAAGCCGAGGCCCTAAGAGTTGTGGAGTGTGGTAGGAGGTAAAAGTTAAGCAGATAACATGGGTCCATGGGTCCCTAGAACTATATGCATCAATAAATATTCTGGTTTTTAATTATACCTGTGGTGAAAAACGGAAGACAGTTACAAGGTGTGAATTATAGCAATGATGTAAACTCAAAACTGAATAAGCTCCACTGTCTACAAAATTGGGAATGGATTTAGATAGAGCAAGAGTGGTTGCATAATCATAATAAAGATTTGCTAGCAAGATCCACAAAGACAAGAGTGGTCAGACTAGAGTAGGATCCACATACGTCAACGGAAGAGACTGAGTTTCCAGTTTATTTGAGGAAGACAAAGGCAACAAGACTTTCTAAGAAAGAAGGTGGCGATAAGAAAGAAATTGGGGGGGGCGGATATTCAATACACTACTGTAGTTTACTTGTGAATGTGGGTTATGGAGAAGTCTAAGAGCAGAACAGAGAGGCAGACGCCAACAAAACATCTTCTTAGACACAGTGTGTTAGACTTCTAAGCAGAGGGGTTGAGACACCAACTAGACATACAAATCTAGAAGCTAATGACGGAGCCAAATTTGAAAGGCGGAAGCACATAGAAGGTGTTTCATTGAGGGGACTAAAGAATATCATCCAAACTTGAACATGGAAGAGAGAAAGGATCCAAGTCAGAACCAGGGATGTCTGGCAGACAAGAGGGATGTCATGGAAGGGAACTTGAGAAGGAATAAGCAGGGAGTAATCTCAGAAAGCTCAATGTCGTGGTAGCCCACACAGAAAGTGTTTCCATACAGTGTGAGATTCCAACTTCAAATTAAGAGGAAGGGAGTGACTATGAACTCGCCAAGTGAGATGTCATTTGGTGAACTTGACAAGAGCCATTTCTGTGCTGTAATTGAGAACACATACCTGACTGGATGGGGTTCAGGAATGATAGCAGCAGAGTGGGTGGGATAACAGAGAGCCAGCCCTTCTGAGGAGAACTACTGTGAAACAGCAGACACGGGAAGGGGTGAATGCCGAGTTAAACAGAGAAAGTATTTGGAAGTAGACGCCACTGAAGTGTACCTACCATAGCCTTGCAGGAATGGGCTGGAGGAAAAGGGGATCTATGCTACAGAGAATATCACATAAAGCCCTTGAGAAGAATCCAAACCAAAGAACAGAGTTAATCTGATAAAGAAGTGGGGACACTTCCATCAAATGTGGGAGGCAGAGAGGCAATGTGGGAACAAAGCTGGCAGGGGGTGGGGTTTCATGGTCTAGAAAATGAAACATTTCTCATCTCATCACTTTTTTATGAAGTAAATAAAACCTTGTGGTTGACCCAGACAGAAAGAGATGCAGACAGTAAGAATTCAAAGAGAAAACATGAACTAGCTCCCAGTGTGTTAGAGTTAATTCAGGCAGGCCTGAATGCCCATGTGAGATCTCTGGCCACTAATTAAAGACAGACCATGCAACCAGGTCATGGAGGTTTCTGTCTTCTCCAGTTGCCCCTGAGTATGAGCAATGTCTGAGGTTATCAGAAGTGGCTAACTCCTTCCAGGGAAAGCTGAAGTTGGGAGAAATTCATTTCTTAGTATTGCTCACTTAGCCTCTACATTATAGGAGCCTGGATTTGCATTCAGCTCCATCTGGGTCCAAGATCCATGCTTTTTTCCCAGGAATAGATCAGAGGCGAAGATGGAAGAGTGTGTAAACAACTGAAGAGTTTGTTTTGTCTAGCGGTCCCCTGAGGGGTTCCCAGAATCCAATCCTGTCCATTGCCTACATGCCATACTATCTATCATCCATCTGAAAGGTCAGACCCTAAAAATGCTGTCACAACCCCAGTCAACAGCTGCTACACATCTGGATGAGCCAAAGGCAGTAATGACATTTTATAGAGGCCATGTTTTGTTTGGTTTTCTCAGTGGAAGAAACAAAGACCTACTTAAACCATTTCATAAGGTATTCCATTCAAAGTATTTTTTACTTTGCTTTCTCAGACCGAGAACCTTATTCCCAGTTCTAGCTCAGTGAACCACTGGAAACCCATGGGAAGCACGAAGACAGGGATGTTAGATGACCCAAAGGCCAGAGATAAGACAGATTCAGCTTACAGGTAGTCATGGAGATTAACACTTTCTCTCTTCCTTCTACAGCCCAGTTATTTCTAGTGCCTTGAGTAGCATCTTCACCAAGTGGGATGTGCCAGTCTTCACACTGCCCTTCAATATTGCCTTAACGCTGTACCTGGCAGCTACAGGCCACTACAACCTCTTCTTCCCCACGACACTTGTGGAGCCTGTGTCTTCAGCTCCCAACATCACCTGGACAGAGATTGAGATGCCTTCGGTAAGTTGCCCAGTGACAATGAGTCAAGAAGCCTGGAAGCTATCACAGACCCTTTCACTTAACCAGCTTATGTGTTAGCCAGGTTCCATCCTTCAATAGAAAAAGCAGATGGGGCTGGTAGTGGTGATGCATATGTTTAATTCCAGCATTCATAGGAGGCAGAGGCAGGTGGGTCTCTAGGACTTTGAGAACTAGTCTATGTAGGACTCTCCAGGCTAGTCAGGACTGTATAAAGAGAATCTGTCTCAATAAAAAAATAAGTAAAGAGAAAAAAGAGAGACCAGGTGATGGCCTCAGAATAGACCCAGAAAGGCTTGCAGTCATATCCATACATCCGCCGGGCGGTGGTGGCGCACGCCTTTAATCCCATCAGTCGGGAGGCAGAGGCAGGCGGATCTCTGTGAGTTCGAGGCCAGGCTGGACCGACAGCCTCCAAAACAATACAGAGAAACCCTGTCTCGTAAAACCAAAAAAATATATATATCCATACATCCAACAAGTCTCTACTGGACGTCTAGCTCATTCCTGAAACTTTCAGATTCTGGCTATATAGCTGAAAGAAGACAATCATGAGACCTACATTCTACACAAGAAAAGAAAACTGTGTAAAGTTGACAATGCAAGGTAGCTATGGCTGAATGAAAAGCATTAGATTAAATAGATAATTTGATGAGGCAGTAAGAGACTAACACACCTTAAAATAGTATTTAATTAGTTATTATGTATACAAGACAGAATGGATTTTTAACATGCTCTTTTTATCAATGGTTCTCAAACAAAGGGTAATTTTACCCTCGGAAACTTCGGTCAATGTCTGGAAGTACATTTTATTATCAAGTATGAGCAGTGGTTAAGATGTGGCTCAGTTTGTAGACTGCATGACTAGCACATGTAAGTTAAATCATCAATACCATATAAAACGAGTATGGAGGCAATGATTATAATCCAACACTTGGAAGATAGAGACAAAATGACTAGGTCATCCTTATCTACATAGCAATTTTGAGGCCAGCTTGGAAATGTTTGCCACCCATGTCTGATAATCTAAGTTCATAGGAGTTCAACCTTCAGAACATGTGCTAGGAAGAAATGACCAACTTCCAAAGCTTGCTGTCCTCTGACCTTCACACATGTGCTGTGGCACACACATGCCCACACTCATCGTACCTATCATGTGCGTGTGTGTGTGCACACACATACACAATGATAATAGTAGAATAGTATCTAGTATCTAGTGAGTAGAATCCAGAGATGCTATTAAATATCCTACAGTACACAGAACAGCTGCCTCTCCCCCAGTAAAGAATTATATAATCTGAGATGCCAGTAGAGCCAGAGTGTGCTTACAAATGTGCATGTTCATTGACTCCACTGATCTCTACACATAAGAACATTGGAGCATAATAGAAATCTACAATATGATTTTAGAAGTATATAGAACTAGAAAGTCTTAGCCTTGTTAACAAACATAGAAGCAGTCACCAGCTAGTACTTTTGTATCACATATAATACTTTAGTGTTGTATAAACACAACTGGTTATGGTTATATATCACACTACCCTACACCAATATTATATTAACTCATTTCACCCTGTAAGTATACTACCATTACTCCCAAACTGAGGCACAAAGACAGTTGTCTGAGATCAACCTGCAGCTAGCACCTAGCTTAATACCTTGACACGTGTTGTAGAATCACAACTTTGAACCACCATCCCTTGATCCCAGGCAGGACATGTGTCCTCAGCTTGGGGCAATCATTGTATGCTAAAACTCACTGGTTTCCAATGAGCCCACAGTATAATAAAACTTACTGCTTCCCCAAAGGGTCCACTTATCATCAGGTCCCTTTAGTATAGACTTTCTCTACACAGTCCTTAAAAATCCGTCTCCCTTTATATTTACCCAACACTTGCGGCTTCCTAGAGTATCTCAGATCTGCCTCTGTCATAGTATTTCCAGTGTTTGAAAACAGCCCAAGTCCTCAGCTATTACCAGCTTGACTTCTGGGTCCTCGTCATCCAGCCACAGCTGCTGTGTATTCCTGGGCTTCAGTGTGACTTTCTGCTGGTGCTCATCTCCACCACCGCTGGGTCTTCCAGGGACAGTCACACTCAAAAATCTGTCTTTACATGAAGGCCCAGCTCCAGAGGCAAACCAAAAAGGGAAAGGGTCAGGAAGAAAAGCTCCACCTGCTGTCACTGATCAGCCATCTGACAGGCAAAGGGGACGGGGACACACACACACACACACACACACACACACATCCACTGTCAGTCACAGGCTCATGGTGGCACAATCTAGAGACAAAGGATAACCAAGGCCTCAGCCCACATCAAAGGCATACACCTCAGTGCTGTGGTGGCTGGCTGGGGTAGAATGGGTCTCAGGGAAAAGATGCCTGCCTGCACACAGGAAGTGGTCAAACACAAATCTGGATACCTGTAAATCCAAGCTCACCCTCTCACCTGTCAAAGATCTCCTACTCTTGACAATCAGCAAATTCTCTTCCCTGTCTTGGAAAACCTATGCCATTTTGCTTTTACTTTGGAAGAGAGGGGTGGGCAGGCTTCCTCTTCAGTTAAGCAGCCTGTGGACACCTGAGAATTATAAGAGGGAGGCAAGTGCTCTGTAAATTTCCACTGTCAGGCTGACTGCCCTTTATCTCAGGTGTCTGCAGCAGCAGCAGCGGGGAGCGGGGAGCAGCAGCAGTGCACAGCTCACAAGGTGAAATACGGATCCCCACAGGTGGAGAGCTTCTTTCTAAACTCAGGCTTTATCCCAAGGACACTGTCCCCTCCCTCCTCTCATTCTTGATGGCTTGGGCTTACAACCCATGTTCCCTGACAGAAAGGTGGAAGGTGGACTCAGCAGTCCACATTCCTCAGTTGTTGCCATGTCATTGGACATCTGCTGACATTTCCAGCCCACACCTTCTGGGTCCTTGGATTTAGGACTGGGCCCCGGCCCGAGCCCACCATTCCCTCCACACACTTGTAACTAGGTTCAGTTATTAACAGCCACTCATAAAAGAAACAAGAGATTCCAGCCTTTGAAAGTACTCTGCAAGTCAAACACTAAAGAAATCAGACATGTTCTAAAATCAAATCCTTTTGGAAAAGTTCTGAAAAGGACAAAGCAGTTGGCTCCCCACATCTACAGTGGGTGATCTATGAATCCAATAGAAACCAAACTGCTGCGTGTGATAGTCGCTTGCAGCCTGGGCAGCACACGGGCTTGTCATCAGATATTCTGGGGAGAAGCCAGACTGGGTGTATTGTTTAAAGTTCCCCAGAGGTTCCAATGGACACAGAGTTTGAGACTCACTAGGCAATCAGTATATAGTTGTTTGCTCAGCCACAGAGGGCGCTAGTCTCTTAGAATCACGTGACCTAATACAGTCAAGAACTATAGAATCTTTTTTTTTCTTCTTCTTCCTTTTATTGAAAAAAAAAACCTTTCTCACATACTGTATCCTTATTATGGTTTCCTCCCCCTCTTCTCCTCCCAGCTCCCTCCCACCTCCTCTTCCATCTTGATCCACTCCCTTTCTGTCTCTCATTGGAAAACAAGCAGGCTCCTAGGAGATAACAGTAAATAAAATATAAAACAAAAGCTAACACATTCAAATGGGATGAAACAGACAGAAGGAAAGGGCCCAAGAAGAGGCCCAAGAATCAGAGGCCACTCATCCGCACACTCAGGAACCCCATAAAAACACTAAAGTGGAAGCCATAATATGTGCACAGAGGACCTGATACAGACCCAGTCTCTGTGAGTTCATGTGAGCTTTCCTCATGTCGGTTTAAAGGGCCTTCTTCTCCTGGTGTCCTCCATCCCCTCCGGCTCTTATATTCTTTCTGCCTCCTCTTCTGCAAGGTTCCCTGAGCCATGAGAGGAGGGAGTTGACAGGGACATCCCTTTTAGGATTTAGTGTTCCAAAGTCTCTCACTGTCTGCATGATATCTGGCTGTGAGTTTCTGTGTTTGTTCCCATCTGCAGGAGGGAGCTCCTCTGATGGTGGCTGAGCAAGGCACTGATCTATGAATATAGCAGAGTGTCATTAGGAGTCATTTGCTTGCTGTATTCTTTGTTTTTTAGAACAGTAGTATTTGGTTTTACCCTAGTCTCTGGGATATCTAGTACTAGGTTCTTGGTCACCCAGTCAGTGTCAGGTTTGGGTTCCATCACGGAGAGTGGGTCATAAGACCGATCAGTTTTTGGTTGGTTGCTCTCACAAGTTTTGTGCCAACATTGCACTAGCATATCTTGTAGGCAGGACACCATTGTAGATCAAAGGGTTTGTGGCTGTGTTGGTGTTAATGCTTCTCTTTTGGTAGCACACAGAGTAACTTCTGTGCCAAAGACACTAGAATGTATGGGTGAAGGCTCTATGTAGGCACGAGCTCAACTTCTCCATGTTCAATAGGTGGTGTAGATGTTGTCTTCAGCAATAGGGCATTGCCATCAGATTGTGAAGAGCAATCTATGGTTTTGGTAACAGTCTGGTTTGTTTGAGGATTCCCATAGGACCCTTTTGGCCAACAGTTCAATTAGATACAACCCAACCCCAGTACTGGAAGCTTCATTTGGTGAGAAGAAATTGCCAGTTTGTGCTCTGCCTCCCCCATTATTTGATGATTTCATTTAGATAACCCTTGTATATGTATATATTTTAGGAGACATCTACTGTATTAGGTTTCCAATACTATCCTTCTAATGACCCTTAATTTTATCCATCTTGCCAGGCGGTGGTGGTACACGCCTTTAATCCCAGCAATTGGGAAGTAGGGGCAAGTAGATCTCAGTGAGTTCAAGGCCAACCTGATCTACAAAGCAAGTACCAGGACAGCCAGGACTGCTACACAGAGAAACTCTGTCTCAAAAAAAGTTAGCTGTCTCTTCACTTGTTTTATCCCTTCCCCTCTCCCCACTTGATCCTCCAGCTCCATCACCCCCCATTCATTCATAACTACATATTCTATATCCCTTTCCTACTGAGATCTACCTGTCCCTCCTAGTCCCTTATTCTATGCCTAACCTCTGTGGTTCTATGGACTATAGTTTGGTTATTAACCTAACAGTTAATATCCACATATAAGCAAATACATACCATATTTGTCTTTCTGGGTCTGGGACACTTTGCTCAGGATGATTCTTTTTTTCTAGTTCCATCCATTTACCAGTGAATCCCATTCTTCTGTTGAAGAACATCTAGGTTGCTTCCAATTTCTGCCTATTATGAATAGAGTAGCAATGAATATTGTTAAGCAAGTATCTCTGTGGTTGAAAGGAGCCTACTTTGGGAATATGCCCAAGAGTGGTAGAGTTGGATCTTGAGGTACATTGATTCTCATGTTTCTGCACAGTCACCACACTGATTTTGGTAGGGCCGTACAAGTTAGCACTCCCACCAGCAATGAATGAGTGTTCCCATTACTCTACATCTTTACCAGCATGAACTGTCACTAGAACTCCAGAGCTACTCTGGATGTTAGATGTATATGTTTTATATGTATGAGTATTTTGTCTGCATGTATGTATATGAACCACATGCATGTCTAGTGCCTAGGGAGTTCAGAAGAGGATATTGGATCCCATGGAATAGGAATTATATATGGCTGTGAACACTATGTGCGTATTGGAAACCAAACCCAAGTCCTCTGCAAGAGTAAGACGTTCTTAACTGCTAAGCCATCTCTCTGGCACCCTAGAGCTATAGAATTTTAAATCTGGAAGGTCATTAGCTAGGCCAAGAGACCTCAAACAGAATAAGTCAATAGTTTTTTAATGAAAGGCCTTAGACTAGGAGTCAATTCCAGAGGCTCTACACTAGTCATTTATCAAATCATCTATTTGAAAACTAGAATATTTACAATATTTCCAGAACATTCCTAGGATTTCCAGAAGTCTATAGGAAGTACCTAGGTGCCTTATACCCTGGTGGCAATCTAAGAAGGAAGTGCATTCTGGCCTCCTCCAAGTTTCTCCTCCCAAAGTAAAAGCCATGTGTTCCCCAGAAGCATCCGTGTCCAGCATTGTGTTAGGAGCTCCACCTGACTGCACGAAGCTGGATGCTGGATGCCTGGCAGGTGGTGGAGTGAGGAACTATTTGTTCCAGTCTGTGCCTTTCCCTGTTCTCTCTCACGCTGGAGGGCACAGCCATCCTTCTGTTTTCCTTCATTACCCGCTGGCCTGGCCTCAACCCTGATGCCTGGATTTTGCGTTCTCTGCCCACATTCCAGTGACCTACATTCTGTTGACTTTGCAGCTGTTACAAACCATCCCTGCTGGGGTCGGCCAGGTCTATGGCTGTGACAACCCCTGGACAGGCGGCGTGATCCTAGTGGCCCTGTTCATCTCCTCACCACTCATCTGCTTGCATGCAGCCATAGGGTCAATCGTGGGGCTACTAGCAGGTAAGCCAGAACCCCAGTTCTGTAGGGAGAGCTTTAGGTATAGCCTGATCCCATTTCCCCTCAGCACACAGCAACCATTCCAGACTTGTCTTCACTTAAGTTTGAACACTGTCGTGGGGGGGGGATCTATTTTTCCCTTATTTGAGCCTCCTCCAAAGGGAGCAGATTGAAGTAACAGAACATGTGGAGAAATGCAAAGGCCCTGAGTATGGAGCCCAGCATTGAGGGAGTTGGAGGAGGGGAGCCTTGATGGCCCAAGATGGGGTACATGTGGTTCAGCACTTGGAAGTTTTGGCCAAGCTAAAAGAAAAGCTTTCCTAAAATTGGATTGGCATTTCTAAAGTGTAATTTCATATTCCTACACATATGTATATGTATGTACACACATTTATATATGGATATGCTCTTTCCCACAATAGAGTCAGAAAATAGAGTAGGGGACCCTGGAAGTAAAGGGCTATTTTTGAATTATTCTAATGTTTTGCAAAGACCTTTGGGAGCAGAACTTTCTAAAAGGAATTGTAATTTGAGATCATTTTAAATTCATCAAAAACTGAAAAGCAATAATGCAAGAAGCACTAATTCTTTATCCAGATTTACCTGCTGTTCACACCTGCCCCTGAGGTTCTGACATGCCTCTCTCTAAATCCATCGATGAGTGTCTGGACTTAATTTTCTGAACCCTCTGAAACAGAATTGAAATTGTTGACAATGCAGCTGCTTAGGTTGAAGGAGGTGCTAATGTCCTTTCCTGGGCTGCTCCTTATCCCAAATGTCATCACACGTACGTGCACACACACACACATAGACACAGACACACACACACATAGACACACACATACACATAGACACAAACAGACACACGCACACACATAGACACAGACACACACAAACACACACACACACACATACATACTTTCAGCCACAGGCACAACCTAAGAGAGAAGATCATCAAGGATCACACATGTATGTACATACACATACACACATAAGCACACCTATACACACCACTGTGAATCCAGGGCCTCCTCACTGATTTCCGGGGACTACACACTATTTACAGGGGCCCTTTTAAAAAGCAGAGCAGTAGATACATTGTGAATGACAGGACAGAGGCCACCTTGAGGCCTGGCAGCAGCCATGGGAAGGCCTTTCTTCTGTGGTCCAAAATTACCCAGAAAAACTACACCTTCTTTCGTAGCACTGACTGTGGCCACACCCTTTGAAACGATCTACATGGGCCTTTGGAGCTACAACTGTGTCCTCTCCTGTATCGCCATTGGAGGCATGTTCTACGCCCTCACCTGGCAGACACACCTGTTGGCACTAGCCTGTGGTAGGTTTTTAAGAAAGTGACAGCCAAGCCCCGCAGGCGGTCTTCTCTTAATTGTATGTCTGCTAATTCATTATTAAAATTGGTGGGGATAAGATGAGAATGGACTGTGGACTCTATGAGAAGTCATGATGAGGCGAGAAGATCACAGGGTTTGTAAGCTCCAACTTCTGGCCTCAGACAATGCATAGTCAGAGGAGAAATTGCTGCAAAGAACAGCATCAGGTAAACGCTGGTGTCTGACACCAAGGCTGTGGCAAAGCCAACCCTGCGTCTGGGCCACCCTGTTTTGCTAGGGCAGTGACTGAACGAGGCAGGCTCTGGGAAGCTGACTCTGCTGGTCTTGTTCCTCCTCCACAGCCCTGTTCTGTGCATACTTGGGAGCAGCCCTCTCCAATATGATGGCAGTGGTAAGTCTGGGCTATCTGACTGCCAGCCTAAGGTCTTCCTCCCCTCAGAACATCCGTGTTTGCGGGGTCTAATAAAAGAAGATTGGGGAATGGTGTAAGGGTAACAGCATCTGGTCCCCTGTGTGTGCATCAAGTTTACCCATGATTCATCCAAAGAAGAACTTTTCACATGTAGTTCTAGGGTGTATGTATGTGCGTGTTTATGTCTGTGTCAGTGTGTGTGTCTATGTGTGTCTCTCTGTGTGTCTATGTATGTGTGTGTCTGTATATGACTGTCTATGTGTGTCTGTGTGTCTATGTTTGTATGTTATAGAGCTGTGAAGAACAGGATGGACAGACAGCACTCAAAGGTTGGCAATCAGAACCATTCAGGTCCAGCATTAAGATTCTGACTATGCCCAAACACAGCAACATCTCAAACTCCTTGACCAGCTCCCCTGACACTCTGAGTCCAGAAACACTAACTAATGCCTTCATGTGGCAGAAGTCAGGGTTCCCCATCCACAATTCCTATCATGCCCTTCTTCCCAGGTTTCTGGCCCAACACAGGTGCCTGAAAGCATTCTTCCAACTCATTTCCATTTGCAGGTTGGTGTGCCACCAGGTACCTGGGCCTTCTGTCTCTCCACCCTCACCTTCCTCCTCCTGACGAGCAACAACCCTGCCATCTACAAGCTCCCGCTCAGCAAAGTCACCTACCCAGAGGCCAACCGCATCTACTTCCTGACAATGAAAAGCAATGAAGAAGAGAAGCCCCCCAATGGTGACTAGCCCAGCTCCAAGCAGAAACACTCTTACCTGAACCCTTGTGGTCTCAACTCTGGCCAAGCACCTTAGCACACTTTCTGTGCCTCTCCTTGCACCTGTGTCAAATCAAACGCACCTGGTCCTCCCTAACCCTGAGGCCGATTTGCTCTCTCTGCCCAGACCTTTATTACTACCCTTGGTGCGGCATTAAAGGAAGCTGGTATGCCCTTGCTGGAATCAGAAGTGAGGAGTCTGATTTACATGTTGCTGGCATAAAACAAGCCGTTGTTGTTTCGTCTTCTGAGAGGAGGGTGGAGAGATGATGCTGAGGCATCTAAACAATAGATGTCTTAGAATTGGCCTAGCTGAGTGGCAGACAAGGAGTAGAGACAAGTGAGGACATGTGGTAAGAAGTAAAGGCACACTAGTTTAGAGTTGGGGTTGATGGGCACATGGAGTTTCCCACGGAAGAGGGCTTTCACAGAAGTTAAAAGGTCAACACATGGAAAACTGAGCCCTGGAAATATGAATAATGTGTCTTGAACCTTCAAGCTTTCCCTCCACAAGCAGTTAGACAGCTTTCCCCAGCACTTGAGATAAAAGCCTTTTTCTTCATTGTGTAGAAACAAAATGCCTAATAGCTAAATCCTACCGTGCTCCACCTATCCAATGCTTCTCTCCCACTCTGAGACACGAAAGCTTGTTTAACCCTTCTCTCACCCACTCCCAAATGCTCACTTCTAAAATATTGGTGTTTGGCTGCTTATCATTTTTAATAGCATGCCTCTTCTTCTTGAAAGAATCACGCAAGCACACGCATGCCTTGTCCTTGTGCTTGTCCGTTCGAGCTCACCGTTAATCTCCAACATTGACTTCTGATCATTTTTTGCTGTTTTCCCGTCATCCTGTCCTGCAAACTTTGTGCATATCCAATGTGTTACCTCCTTAGAATATTCCCTCAAGGATTTCTTCAAATAAGACTTGAAAGAGCACAGGCGATAGGTCCTCCAACTCTTCACATGACCACAAAGTCTTGTCCCCGGCAAGTGAATAACATGTTGTGTGGACATGGGATCCCCAGTTGTCTGCAAATGTCATTTCTTCATCTCCTGTCTCTATTGCAAATTAGAAACATGATCCTTTCTTCTTTTAAAATAACCTTCCTTTATAGATGTCCGCTTTGTTTATAAACTTAAGCCCAAGTTTTCTTTCTCATCGATCTGCCTTTGGACATACAAAGCCAAGCCTCTCTCTTTCCCTCAGAGGTTCTGCTCTGATCATTGGTGTGAGCATGCTCTCCCCTTTCTTCCTCTGAATCAAACTTTTCTCCACCCCACTGTCAATCTCTGTGACCTCTGTTCCAAGTTGCTTACCTTCCCCTTCCCAGTTTTCACCATTTGTCTTTCTGCTTTACTCTGAGGTATTTCTTCCCCGTCAACCACCAGCCATGAATACTTTCCTGAAACACAGCAGATGCATCAGACTTGGGGGTTCAAAAATCATAGTTTGTGCTCTGTTAAACCTTTGGGAGTTGGGGCTGCAATCAAATCGCCATGTGTGTTCATAATCTTTTGTTGTCTATTTCCTCTTGCCTTTGAAATCTATGTGACCCCAACTTCATCCCATTCCCCCTATTCCATTCCAGCTGGTCTCTTATGTTGGTGGCCATGTACTTTCTGCTAATGCTCAGAGCCTGAGAATTCTGCCTTGTGGTCCAGCCATATCCCAGAATTTTTTACTACAGAACTTTTAATATGTTACTCAATCAGGGCTTGACAGTAAACCAGGAGAGAATCAGACCCATCCCTACCTTCAAGGAATTTATTTTATGGGGATTTGCCTGGACAGCTAAATAGCATCACCTGAGACAAGGATGCTGGCCAGAGAGCCCAAGTGCATTTAAGTTCACAGTACCAAAAAAAAAAAGTTCACAGCATCAGTTTTCATACCAAGGCAGTTATCTGATTGGATTGGTCTTCTGTTTAGGAATTGTCTCAGGCATGATTTTAAGGACTCCAGGAAAAAATGTATGCCTCTTCCTGTCCCCAGTGTTTCCTGTAGCTGCTACTCAAGCATCTCAAGCATTCCCAGTCATCCCTTTGGTTTAAGGTTTGGAACCTGTTAAAATATAAACAACCCTGGACTAGTAATGGCATAAGCATGGTCGGTCATTCGTATCTTAGGTGCTTGGTGTCATTTCTGAGAATAGGTTGGATTACAAGGGGAGGGAGTATACCATGAAAACACAAGCAGGATACTCCAAACCTGTTGGAAATGAGAAGGAACATGCTGAGATGAGGCCAAGTGGGGTGAATGAGGGGCCAAAACATCCTTATTCTGCTGGAAATGGGAATGGTGTGCCTCGGGAAGAAAAGCAGACAGAACCTTAGCTGTCCACAGTGGGAGACTCAGCATGGTGAAGAGGTATCAGACATCTGAATGAGTCAGTGAAGACAGTATCTTTGGAACAAGGCAACTTGCCTGAGCAATGGTGTCTGCTTAGACTTAGTTTCCCACCCAGGCAATGCAGAAGCAACCAGAGACCTGCAGAGTAACTATTTAGTGGGCAGGGGTTCTGGGCCAGGTGGCCACATGTTTATCTTTCAACTCTGGGCATTCACGATTCTGTGACCCTGAGTTCACACTGAAGAATAAAGAGGAAATATCCCTAATGTGACAGAAACATCAGAGCATAGAAACAAAAGTTACCGATATATACAACCACTGCTTTGTAGATTTTTCTGGACTTTTCCCACTCAGCCATCTGGTCAGGTTACCAAAATTCTCACCTTGATTACTTAAAAGGACAAACTGGAGAGTGAGCATCAGTCCCTTGAGCTTCCCTTAACCCTGCCCTTCCTTGTACCTCTCCCCTCTGAACTCTAAGACCCAACCACCAGTTGATCTTCTCAAACTGCATCTGTGACGACACCAAACCTGCATTCCCCCTTATGTCACTGTGCTTCCCATCTGACTCTGAGCCTTTGTTCCCTCAGATCTCAAAAGTGGTGAGGGACTGGAGTCATTCTCACCCAATGCCAGGTGGGAGTGGCAGCTTCCCATCAGCCAACATTCCACCCAATAAGCCATGTGTGTGTGTGTGTGTGTGTGTGTGTGTGTGTGTGTGTGTGTGTGTGTTGTATTTTATCTGCCTCTGGTTATTGCAAGAAGATAGAGAAATCCATAGGGACCCCTCCTGCCTCAAGTGGAGCTATAAATTCCAAAACCAAGGATTGAGGTGGAAGGGAGGACAGCAATTTCCCGTGAGCCCACCCATTATGAGTGATAACTCAGAGCCCCAGTCTGCTCTTACAGTTGAAGCAAAGGAGACACACTTTTGGGGCACAGGTAGCTTGAACCTGAATTTGCTCCACAAGGAGTATAACCTTTTCTCACAAGAATCTGATTACCACCTAGGCCCTGGTAGTAATCTCACTGTCCTTCAAATATGGAAACAGAGTTGAAAGAAGCCAGAGCATTCTAAAGAAACTTCATTCTAAAGTGACTTCTGAAAAAGCCTTCAAGGCCTAAAGAGATTGTCTAGTTTAAAGAGCTCCAAGTGCTATTGGTAGTGTGCTTAGTATTTGCTGGGACCTCTTAGGTACAAGGTTCCACTGTGTCCTTGTGTTCTTCTGCTTCCTAGGAGAGTGGACTACCTCACCCTACATGTACCATGTGTGTAACATGTGTGGCTGAGAGATGCTGTGCTGCACCATGGTTCTATTTAGCTCATGAACCCTGTGTGACTTTCCTGGATGGCTTCTTCATGGGTGACATCTTCTCTTTCCAGATTGGTGGCCCATCATTGTTTATTAGCAGCCTCTCCATGTTGTGTCTGAGCTAACCAGGATGGATGTTCAAAAGGCAAGACTGAGCTCACTACAAAAAGTTCAGGAGCCCTTCGAAGAGGCCAGAGCAAGAGTACAAAGGACGAGCATCTACGATGGAGCTAAGAGACGGGGCAGGCAGGGGAAAAGAAAGAGAGAGGCTTAGATGTGGTCAGCAGCCTGTCGTGTAAGCTTGGAATGGCTCTGCTCTCTACAGGCTCCCAACCTGTCCCTGGAATGTGGGGGCACCGGGGTGCCTCCCACCCCTTCTGTTTGCCTTTCATCCTGCTTGATCAAGATGTGTCTTTGGGAGTTTCAAGCACCTGGTGTTGGAAGGGAACTTTGACGTCAGCAGGAGAGTTTGTCTACTCAGGTGGAGCTAATGTCCTTGGTATGAGGTATGGTTCTAATCCTAGGGAGGACGATACCTTCCTCCCCTAAGTGTATGCTGGGAGCAGTATGTGAGTGCGGGTTGATGACCCATCATACTAAAGCCAAACAAAACATGTTTTGATACCTCCCCCACAAGTTTAGCCCATCAGACCCATGGCTTCATGGGACTTTCGAGCGCCAGCCCCCCTAATATATAGACCTCAGGGTATATTTTGGCCGCAACGGTTAGGTCATGTCCCTCTTAAACTGAGAGGACCCTGGTAAGCTACCAGAAGACCCTGATCAACAAGAGTTAGGGGGAAAGCTCTGAAATTTTCCACAGAAAGACCACATTTAGTATTAGGCTGTGCAAATTTTCCATCGAGACACTGATGGCAAGCACTAGTCCCCAGCCTGTGTCCTGCCTGTTGGGGAATTAAGTGCACTTACTGAGCTTGGAAGGTAAATTGCCCCCCAGGGAGAAAACACTTAGGTAATTGCTTAAAGACAAATACTGAAGCTAGAATTCTAATGAGAGGAGGTAACGCCTGACAGGAAGCAACTAGACAGTTGCCAGGACCAGACCGCCCTTTAAGGAAAGCTGCCTGATTCAGCTGGTGTGGAGACCATGGCAGCTAGAACACATCTTCCCTAGGGCATTTAGGAAGTATCTTTAGTCAAGAAGGCCAGAGTGCAAGAGATCAGCCGAGAGGCGTTTGTCTTTCGTCTTCCTCGGTTGGCAGACCTGTGCCAGGCACAGGTTCAGGGAAAAGAATGCGTGGATTTACAGAAAGTTGTCAAGAGGATGGGCTGGAAGGTGCAGGGCAGTGAGGGGGTTCAGGTTTAGGAGACTTCACGGCACCTGGAGCTGAGGACAAAAGACTTTGGACAGAAGCTTCTGCTGGAGCCTGATGGTCTAAATTCATCCAGCTGTATCTAAGAATCAGAAGCCCAGGTAAGATGCTGGGGCAGAAGCGGACCAAGTAGATGCCAACCTACAGGACCACCTGACTTTGCAAAAGGAAGCCCTACTTTCTTCCACTAAGCTGTGTCTAGGAAAGGTAGTCATAGGATGGGAAATCTATTAAGCATTCTAGCACAAAAAAAATTTAGTTCTTGGAAGCTTAACGCTGAAAAGGCTGTTAAATCTTTATAGATCAAACCTCTTGTTTTATAGATGTAGAAACCGCGGCTAGTCCGGAGACTTACCCAAGTGATAAGTGAACATTGGCCAAACTTCAGGTGTGTGAATTAGCAACCTGAGATGGCCTATCTTAGTCACCTTGTGATAGAGCCAGGGAAACTAATCAGCTAGTAGATCCCCTTTCCCTGCTCTCCTGACCACTGGGTGAGCCGTGTGCTTCTTGTTATCCATTTCACAACTTTTCAAACCTTATAGCTCTGACATCATAGGGTCTCCAGGGAAGCGCTTGGTTGAGATGAGCCTCTGGGATGAAACCTCTGGCTAATGAGGCAGCGTCTAATACCTTCCTCTGGGGAATCATCACCTACTGTTTCCAGAGACCAGTTACCTGCTCCAGGCTTGCCCTACCTCTTTATGTCCTGTTCTCTTTGGTAAACATGCCAATAGAACTGGGTCATCCTATTCTGGGTGTGTCTACACATCCCAGATCCTCGGCAACCTTCCCTCCATGCCCTCATATATACCAATTATGATATCATAGACTTATTGCACACAGTTACAGAAAGGAGTATTTCCAGATGCCATACCATAAGGAGTGGTATTCCAGGCTATTGAAGCTATCTGATTGAAACATGGGCAGCCTCATAAAATTGTGATTTTTTTGCCCCAAGACCAAAGCATCAGGGTAAAAGTATATATCAGATTAGAATTGAGATAAAAGTGTGTGTGTGCACATGCATGCAAATGTACATGTATGTACATGTATGCTCACATTGATATTGGGTGACAATTATTCTATATTTACAGAAGCAGGGTCTCTCACTGAGCCTAGGAATCATCAATTTTAGCCAGCTTACCCTGGCTCCCTGTCTCTGCCTCCCAGGTTTGCTGGAATTACAGGCTTCCCACACAAGCCTAGCTTCATGCTGTACCGTAAGCACTTTATCCACTGGGACAGCTTCCCAGTACCAACACAAAAGTTTTAGTTCATGGTTTCAAAAGTTTTAAGACATAATGGGTAAATTCTCAGAGAAAGAGAATTGTGCCCCTGAAAGAGAATGGAGTACTTTAAAATCAGGTAAGAAAATGACCAGGACATTTGTGTGGGGTCACATTTGAGTAGATAAGAATTTGGCAACTCACTGTCTTGGTAAACAGTAAATTTTATGACTCCATTTGTCCTTCCTGGGTCTCTTAATTTGAGATGAGGTGCCAGGGGCCACTGGGAATTAGACTATCATTGTTTTTATATTACTTACAGTCCACTAGGTCAAGCTCTAAGCAGTTAGAATCTGATCTTGAGAGTAAAGAATTTTTAGTTTTACTGGGGGTGAGCTTACTTTTGACCTTTTATTTCTACATTTGCCCTAGCAGATCAACAAGGTCGAATCATTGACAAAGGAAAAAGATCTCCTTTTGCTTGGAACTGTTTGGGAGCTGAGAAAGATCAGGGGGGGATCCCCGGCTGACATTGCAGTGTTCTGCCACAGATTCATAGGAGCATATGACATAAAAGGTTTGGGTCTTGTTTTGAAAGGGGTGGTGTCACAGAAAGTTGAAGTCTAGACTGTAACATCGTTTGGAGGTCAAGAGGCTTCCAGTGATAGAAGGTGGGTATCAATGTAAATGGCAATGGCTGCTATCCCAGACACAGTATTGTCTGGTGCTTGATGACCTATAACCCGGAAGATGCCAACTGTGCCAGAATGTGAAGGAAAGAGGGGTGGACGGCACAGAGTAGAATTAAGACAACAGGGAAAAGGCTATGGACGTTATAAAAGAAGAACAAAAACTACAGTGCTTAAAAGCGTCTCCGTGGAATGATTTGAGGGAGAGGGATAGGACATTTAATAGTAATGATGAGCGTGGTAAGGATCCCTGTGCCCAACGGAGGCCAGTGATGTTGGGGTAAAAGGTAAAGGTAGGAGTTACAGTTCAAGTCATGAGCTAGGTCAGTTAATACGTTGGGGTCTGGAGGTATCTGAAGGTTTCACCTGCAGCTGGATACAAAGAGGATGGAGGCCCCCAGGTGGCTCGCAGGAATAGGTGGTTCGAGCTGGGGGTGAGGGGACATTCTTTACTCTGGGTGGTTGTATCAACAACGACAACAGGCCTTATAACTTGGCAACAGTTGAGGACCTTAGGAGGACATGATAGGGTGAGGTTCAGGCAGCTTCAGTGACCTTTTATCCTGTGGGGAAGGTGGGAAGATAGACTCAGTCTCCCAAGTTAGTGTGACGAGGTGACCCTGAAAGCATGCTTGAGGTGATGCTTGTCTCGGATTGTGGCAACAGCAGTGATTGTCTTGGTGACATTAACACAATGAGAGAGGGCCCTGCCATAAAGTCGAGATTCCCAGAAGATGGAGGGCATCAGGTTGCATAAAAACAATACTTAATTTTGAGAGCCTCACTCATTCCTAATGACATTGGAAATGAAAGACAGGCCAACCTGCAGGGACCAAGGGAACCCTGGGTGAAAATGTGGTGCCCTGTGGTTACTGGCTACCTCTGAGGCCCTTTCTATTTTTGTGAGGAGTACTTCATCCTTCCAGTTAAGGTATGCACTAGAACTAGTACATATTTTCATCTCTTGCACCAGGAAGGATGTCAGTGGAATCTGCTTACCAGTCTGCCAGCATAGTCCCCGACACTGGACAGGCTATAAAAGGAGATAGAGTCTGCTGGCTCCTCTGGGATTGCCCTGACAAGTGGGACAAGTTTTGGAAGTAGACTATGTGAAGAATGCCTGTGTCTGTGGAAGCAGGCCTGATTAGAATTCGGAGAGCTTTAATCCTCAAGTGTGTAGTCTGAGAACATTAAGTCCTTTCCATTAAGAGGATTGAGGGAGTAATGGTTTATTTTCTGGGCTCTGTGAACATCCCCCTGGGTTGGCTGTGAAACCCCGATCTAAAGCCTGTTGAGTCTTGTGATATGTTGAAAGAAGGAAAGGTTACTGAGACCCAGGCTTGAATGAAAGCTAAGCTTCCTGTTTGGCTTGTTAATCACCTCAGCTTTTACCCAGAGAAGTGTCAAAGTGCTGCTTTTGGTGGACCTTGCAATGTAGTATTCATAATGGCTACCTGAGTTCAAGGTCAGATTTTAGTAGGCCCAAAACGTCAGAGGCATGTTTAATCAGGTATTATCAGCAGTAAGGATATCTTTCTTTCCAGATGGCTGCATGGGCGTGGGTTACATGATAAGAACAGGCCAAATCCATGTCGCTATTCCCTCTGATTTCTGACCCTAAAAACTGCCAGGGTCTTTAAGAACACTGTGACAAGAATGGATGCTAATGGGTACCCAGAAATGGAAGTATTCATAGTTTAAGAGGCACTTGTTGGGTGGTGTAGACATTACCAGTGGTGACTGCAGGGAAGGTCTTCAAGGTTCTAGATGATTCTGGATCATGATGGGACAGGAACTTGGTGTTAGGTTGAAGAGGAATAGAATATTTAGAATCTCAGAAACTTAGAAGAGCCTGAAATAGAGATGGTAGCTCTATCTGGGGAAGGATGGGGCACCTAGGCAGGATCATAAGGAGTAAAAGGAAGATATAAGTTTGTCATACAGACTAAAGGGCGTGTAAGCCAGCTTGGTTGGTGTTAGCCATAAGTACCAGTAAGGAGGATGGAAGACTGTAAAGCCCAACTAGAGACAGTGCTAAGGGCTGAAAATTTAGCCCCAGTATCAGAGAGGAAGTGATGTTTTTTCCTCGTCACACGTAGAGTTATGTAAGGGCTGCCCACAGACCTCGAGAATACAGGAACTTGCACAGCCCCAGAGCCATATATTCCCCAATGGGAGCATGAGTCTCCTTCCTTGTTAGGCTCCTCAGAGTCAAGGAACAGAGCCAGTGTCATTTGTCCTTTGAGTTTGATCCCTCACTAGGGAAAAGACAGACAATCTCACCTTCAACGGGCCTCCACTTAGCAGATGGGACATGGACGTGGGGGAGACCTGTAGCCTGGTAGCCTCAGAGACTCGAGGATAAAATGTCCTGGCTAGACACGACAATAGCAGGAGAGAGTCCTTTGACTGGAGACCGTGTTAGCTTCCTTAGACTAGGTCCAGTCGCTTCTAGGTAGAGCCCTGAGATTTCCCGACATGGGCAGGGAGGATTACTGCCACTGAGTGCACCTGCCTCTTGTCCCCTTCTTTTTCCACTTTGACTGTTTTGGCCAAAGGTTTCCTCCCAATTATTAAAGAACTTAAGGGCCACATTGTCTAATAAGTAGAGGATGGAGTCTACAACCCATGGTATAGTGTTTAAAGCTTTTAACTCATACTTGGGGAGTCTTGGCTTATAAACCTGTGGCCAGGATAGCTTGGCCCTCTGGACTCTCAGGATTAAAGTTAGTTTATTTTCCTAGAAGTTTCAGTTATTCTGGACTGAAATGGAACAGGGTACTCAGAAGCCCCTTGCGTTGCTTCCCATATCTTATAGTTAACAGCTGTAGTCATAAACCATTCCAGAATGGATATATGGCTCAGCAGGTAATTCACAAGCATGGGAATCTGAGTTCGGAGCCCCAGCACCCATGTAAAAGCCAGTATGGCTGTGCATGCAAGTCACCCCAGTGATGGGAAAAGGAAGGAATACAGATGGGTGACTTGTTGGGGCTTGCTAGCCAACCGACATGCCCCCCACCCCACCCCCCAAAATAGTGAGCTCCAGGTTCAGTGAAAGACCCCTTTTCAATAAGGTAGAGAGTGATATAGAGGGACAGTGATACCCTCCTCTGGCCTCCACACACCCATGCTTATTTCTCTCTCTCACACACAGCCTTTATCACCTTTTTCAACAGGTAGAAAATTATGTGTTTCCATCAGTCCTTTCTCTGTCACCCCCCTCATCAGTGACCCTGTATGACCAGCAGGACTCTGAGTCAGGCACAGTAAGGGAGCCTGGGCAGACTGTATTTGGGTTACAAGCATGAGCCTCAACTGCTTGCTAAAGACAAGATATAGGATCTTTCCTGAACCATGTGGTCAGGATGATAACCCTGCCAGGTTAGCCAAAGGCCTCAGTCAGTGCTCCTTTGGAATTCTCCAACAAAGGTGAACCCTGGCTAAGTGGTCCTAGTTTGGAATGCACTTGGGAGAAGTCAGACATGGAGAAGGGACTATGGACTCAGAGAGTGCCAGAGTTCCCGTAAGCCACAGAGAAAGGTGTTCTCCATGGGAGAGGGCTTGCTTTTAACTTTCCCCATACAAAGTTCCCAAGGGAGTGTGAGTACAACCGCATAGGGTGCTACTGGAGAAAGCTCTCTGGGTGGGAAAGAGAGTGGGAACAGAAAGAAGAGAGAGGTCAGAGGCGCAAAGCAGAAGCAGGTGTTGAACACAGGTGTGGCTGGAGGCAGGGGAAGAGCCAGAGGATGGGCTTGTACCAGAAAGCCTGGCTGTCCACAGGCCTCTCGTGACTACCCATGGGATTCTTGTGGCTGTCCACGGGCCTCTCATGACTACCCATGGGATTCTTGTGGCTATTCATGGACCTCTTATGGCTGTCCATAGGCCTCTCATGACTATCCATGGGACTCCTGTGGCTGTTCACCGGACCCTCATGGCTGTCCACGGGCCTCTCATGACTACCCATGGGATTCTTGTGGCTATTCATGGACCTCTTATGGCTGTCCATAGGCCTCTCATGGCTGTCCACGGGCCTCTCATGACTACCCATGGGATTCTTGTGGCTATTCATGGACCTCTTATGGCTGTCCATAGGCCTCTCATGACTATCCATGGGACTCTTGTGGCTGTCCACCGGACTCTCAGAACATGAAGTCTGGCTGGGAAGGAAGCTGCAGGTGCCAGCACCAGCAGCCACACTGTCTGCTCCCTCCTGCTCTGAGGTGGTAAGTGATAGACACAAAAGAGAGTGTGAGGAGAGAAGATTGAAGGGTCATCACAGTGAGTGTGGACTCACACCAAACGAGCTGCTGCTGTCCCCATATCACACACTGAGAGTGAGGGGGAGTCCCAAAAGGAACTCAGTAGCTCATAGTGTAATGGGTGACAACAATCTGAAGTCTCAGCCCAGAGCCTTTGGCTGTCACTGGAGCACAACTCCCGAGATTTTCAGATGCCCATTGGTCTCTCTGCCAACCACCACAAGCCTCAGAGTGAAAAGAAGCAGGAGAAAGGGATGGAAGAGGCCCCCAGCTGAGTCACCCAAACATCCTGTCAGGAAAGGAAGCCTGGGGCTGGGGGGGGGGTAGTGTTTACCAGACCAGAACCTACTGAAAAGTTTTAACAGAGAGCACATACTGTAGACGGGAACACAGCAGCCAAATTCCGAGAGACAGACTTGCTCCCCTAAGAGACAATGGGGCACTTTAGTGGCAGTTAAAAAAAGTTATTTATGTTGGCCTTTTCTCCTGGGCCATTAGTCTTATGGGTCATATCTGAGTAGATAAGAGGTGGGCAGCTCATTATCTTGTTAGGTAGTAAATTTTATAACCCCATTTGTCCTTCCTGGCCATTTATGGAGAATCTCCGAGAATCATTAGGAGAA